TCCTAGAATGCAAAATGGACTCCTCCCAAACAGGGCCTAAAAATTCCGTTTTCAAAACATGTGGTTATCTCACCCATCCTTGATGTAGGTGGTGGAGCAGAGCTGGTCTTCTCATTCATTTGGTGGTGGTATGAGGGGTCTGTTCCTGAAACATTTTCAGTGATATTAAGCGCTTGGAGGAAGACTGAAGCTGAAGCTCTTTCTGAATCGGACCCATGTAATATTATTAGGATGGCTTGGTCCCAGAAGCAAGAAAGCCTGCAATTCAAACTGAAGCAAAAGCGGAAGTATTGGAAGCAGAAGTCTAAAATACCATGATGTTTTAAGGGAGGGGAGGCAAACACAATTTTTTTTTCACAATTTTTTGAAAAATAAGAGGAGGCAGCAAGCTATTTCTACTATACTGGATTCGACCAGAAATATCAGTGATTCTTTGGAGAGTATTGAAGTTGTGGGCTTGTGCCTGGTCTTATTTCAAAAACTTTTTCTCCGAGGACCCTACTGTTGCTAAATATGATATTTTCTTAGAACATATCCCTAACATTTTGCAGGAGCATAATAATCAAGCATTGATTGCTCTACCAAATGAGGAGGAGGACAGGTCGTGTGGCAACTCAACAAGAATAATGTGGCTGGACCGGATTGGCTTTAACAGACAATTCTATAGAAATGTTGAAAAACTGTGGGGAAGGACGTCACATTGGCGGTGCAAGATTTCTTTTTGGGTACCCTAAATCCTATGACAATGGCTAGTTCTCAGTTGGTTGTCATCCCCAAGATTCCTCAGCCAAAGAACTTTAGTCCTTTAGTCCTATCAACCTCTCCACCTTCATTAGTAAACTCTACACACGTATTCTTGTTAATAGAATAAGTCCACTTCTTCCATCTCTTTTGAGCAAAGAAGAGGCTGCCTTCATGAAACATAAGGATGTTTCTGGACACGCCCTTATTGCTAAAGAGATTATCCACTCACTTGAGAAGAAAGTCTGAGGATCTGATGTGGCTATTAAACTTGATATGGCGAAAGCCTTTGATTGTGTGTCATGGTCCTTCCTCTCAGCTGTCATGCATAAGTTTGGTTTCTCCTCTCAGGTTATTAAGTTAATTATGAATAATTCAAAAGCTTCTTAGTTGTCCGTCCTGGTCAATGGTAGGCCCTTCGGTTTTTTAAAACCAACAAGGGGGGTTAAACAGGGGGCCCCTTGTCTCTCTACCTTTTTTTATTGCTTCAGAAGCATTCTCTAGAAAGCTCAATCCACTTATCACTCAAGGATGTATTCAGCCTTTTTTTGTAGCGAGAGGCAATGCCGATCCTCAGCCACTTAGCTTTCGCGGACAATCTCCTCATTTTCCTTAATGGATCCTCCAGTTCCCTTATGTCTTTTAAATCTTGCTTAGAAGATTATCAGCAGACATCCGGCTAATTGGTTAACTTACATAAAAGTACTTTTACCTCCACCTACGAAGGAATATGATGGAGACCATTTTAAACATGAAGAGCTCGGTATTACCATTTAAGTACGTGGGAGTTTATATCCATAAAGGTATCAATCGAGATAAATACTGTGTTGATTTGATCAAGCAGTTTGAAGCAAACCTTTCTCCCTCGAGGACGAAAACACTAAACAAGGAGGCAGGTAAATTCTAATCAAACGTGTGTTAGCTATGTTGCCTTTACTTATCGTTGCAGCCGATTGCCTACCTAAGAAAATAATTTCAATTCTTGAAAGGAAAATGGGGTCGTTCTTATGGGGCGGCTCTCAAGACAAACTCAGCCATCATTGGATCAGTTGGAAAATAATATGTCGCCCAGTAAATGAGGGAGGACTTGGGCTGCATTTAATTACTGACGTTCAAGAAGCCTATTCATACAAAATGTGGTGGCAATGGAAATCTAATAAATCTTTTTGAGCTCAGATATGCACGCTAGATATCCGAGAGGCAATAACATGCAACCGAACTCCTTGACTCTCCTATATGGAAGAGAATTTGTGCCAGTCAATAGCCAATGTTGTGAATTTACAGATTATGACTCCAGTGGTCTCTTTCAAGTGACAGTAATTTTAGCCTAAAATCAGCCTGTGAAGCTAGCATCCGTGAATCCAGCTCTCAAACATTTTCGGTTGATCAAGCAGGCCAGTTGAACAGCCTAACTATTCGCCTTTTCCTTTGGAAAGTCTTGCACAACATTTTGCGTTTTCTTCAGAACTTATGTCGGTTTAAAGTTCTTCTTCCCTCCATTTTCCCTTTTTGCAGGAGCCATTCTGCAGACTTGGACCATTTCTTACTTACAAGCTCTTTTGCAATCCAGATTTGGCATCATCATATGGGGCTCTTAATATCTCATCAACCTTCGCCTTCTACTCACTTAAACAAAATCTCATTTTATAGTGGTTAAAGGGAAGTAATAGCAATATGGAAGGTATTTTTAGATTAATTTTTGCATGGAGTTATAACCTGGTTTCTCTTGAAAGCATATGCAGCTTATTAATGGGGTGATTCCATGCTTCCTTCTGCATCAAGCATCATTGGGCTCATCAATAATCATATGTACCAGAGGGCAGCTAGATTGGTAAGCACTACATTTGAGAATGATTCCTAGGTGGTGTCTGAAGGTATTTTATAACGACTGTGCTTCTTTGCCATCATTGGTGTGTGGTGCCATCACTCTTGATAAGGCAAGGACCCCATACATTTTTACTAATCTTTAATGTATTATTAATTTACGCTTTGTATGCTTGTATACAACTTATTTTATGCATGCATTCCTCCAAAAGGTCAATCCCCCTCGCCCCAACCCAATCAGGCATATGGGACTTTTTTACGCATGCATGTTTCTTTTGTATGTGTATCTCGTGTATTTAGAAGAGCTTCTTCTGCAGGAATTTTGGATTTAGTCTCCCTCTTTAATCTGTAGTTTTTTTTCTATTATAATAAAATTTGGTAGATTTTCCTTGTCATCTACTCCACTAATTTTGATGGTTTACCAACCGGAACAAAAAACTTTCCTTTTAATAATTTTTCTTGAATAATTTCAATATTGTGGGTTTGACATTTCTTCAATGATCAATTCAGCAATAGCAGTTTTATTATGTTGGTCATCATTATAAGTGAAATTTCTGAAAAGGTAGAGATTCGCAAATCTTGGCATTTGTTCTTGGGGTGTCTTTCTCTTTCATTCTCGCCGCCTTCGCAGCAGTCTCGAATTCAAGTGCCTATGCACCGTAGCATTGCACCTTGTGCTCCCATGTTTTATTATTTGACCACAATAGTTGCAGTGCACATACTGTATGGTATCTTCAGGATTCTTTGACTTTGTAAAATGAAACCTAAATAAATTAGAATTTGAATTTTTATTAGGATGACCTCGCTCCACTTGTGCGGGAGAACCAGCGTGAACCAGCGTCGCTCCCTTACTCGTCCTCAGCGGTAACAAACGACTCATTGTCATCAATGTCAATTGAAGTTGGTTGTGTTTTGGGTTCTTCCTCTGGTTCTTCAAAACCTTCTTCTTCATCACCAATGAGAATAGTGGTTTGATGTAGAAAATGAGAGAGATGTTGTTTCAACAATTGTTTCATTTCCTCATCAATCATAGCGTCTTAGAGCCAGGTTTTCAACCTTCATTCGTGTCACGAGGTCATGATGATGTTGACCCAAAGGGGTTTTTTCACGACTCTTAGATGAAGACATTTCATCTTAGAACCTCCTTACGATTACTTGAAAGAGACTACTCATATTAATGGACTTTCTTTAATTCAACATTCTATATAAGTAATAAAGTAATATTAGCATACTTTGAAATGTTGTACAATATTATAGTCTATATTAATATTGTATATGAACAAGTATAATACGATTCTAATAACTACTACATTTATCCCATTTTATGTGTCTTGTTGGTTAGGCATAACTATTAACAAAGTGATTGGAAAAATAGAACCATTTTATGTGTCTTGTTGGTGAGGCATAACTATTAACAAAGTGATTGGAAAAATAGAAGTTGTGGTTGAGATTTGAATAAATTGATAACTATGGACCACAAATTTATATCTAGGACATGTAAGAGTTGAACGGAGGAAGAACCATAAATTGATAAATATAATATGTATATGAATAATACCCGTATGAATATATATGAAATTAATAAAATTAAGTAAATTTTAAATGAAATTGTATAAGTATATGTAGAGAGCTCTTCTCATCAGGCCGGCCTGACGGGCTGCCCCGTCCGGCCGAGCCCATTTGGGCACCTTCCCGGTGGAATTTTTTGATGAAATTTTTTGAGCATGTTTCTCATCAAGTCTAGTTTGTCCATACCAAATTTCAGCTCAAAATTCGATCGGCAAGGTCGTCAAATGATTTTTGCAAGTTAACTGGTCCGGAAAATACATATTCCGGACCAGTTAACTTGCAAAAATCATTTGACGACCTTCCCGATCGAATTTTGAGCTGAAATTTGGAATGGACAAACTAGACTTGATGAGGAACATGCTCAAAAAATTTCATCAAAAAATTCCACCGGGAAGGTGCCCAAACGGGCTCGGCCGGACGGGGCAGCCCGTCAGGCCGGCCTGATGAGATGATTTCTCATTATATGTATAGATACTAAAGATGAGAGAATTTGGGAGTTGGTGTAGGAAAATGGGAAACATGAGAGATATTTATAGATTTTTCCGATCCCACCCCCTCCAACAGCTTCGGGACATTTGAGAAGACTCCAACAGCTCTATTAGTTAAACCCAATAGTGACACCGATGGGCGATGGGACACAAGGTTGGTGAATCAAGTGGTTCTGAATCTTCTGATCCCAACTGATCCGATACCATGATCGGTCTTGTGAACCGGGTGATTCCAATTCCAACTGGTCAGAGACCATGGACCGGGTCAACCATTGGGCAAAGTGACTAGACCTTACCGGCTTACCCCAATGATTTAGATGATCTCTGGCTATAAATAGACGCAAACTCATTCAATCTCTCACAGAAACCGGGTATTTTGGGAAACGGGAACTTCTATGAAACGGCAAGTGCCAACTTGCTCTTATTTATCAGTACAATTTTGCCCAGTGACGGCTTGTATTTTTCCACGCAGAATCACAACTTGCTTCATAATAACACGAAGCACTGTTTAATAAAAAAAAATGGAGTTAAGGGCTCAATCGAGCACAAGTCATACAAACTCCAATTATTTGTTCTACTTTTTTAAAATAAATAGAAAATACAGCCCATTACATTAAACAAACAAAAAGGCTCGCTCAAGAAGAAACAATCTAGTTTCTAAAATAATCATAACAATGATGACGATAGCAAACTAACTTCAGCATCAACGGCGCCCTCAGTTTTTGGCAGCAACCAGTGCCATGTGCTCTATCAAATCCAAAACCCTGTTGCTGCATAACATAATAGTCAATTATGTCAGCTACCGAAGATATTTCTTGTTCTCTGTACAAATAGATGCATGTTATGTATGTGTGCAGTACCTGTAGCCCCATTCGTTATCATACCAGGATACCAGCTTCATCAATGAGTTGTTCAACCCCATGCCAGCCTTTGCATCGAAGATGCTTGATCTGTTTTGTTGCAACACCCACAAATTGGCAATTGATATAATTTTTCGTTATCTATTTTCAGAATGAATAACACCAACAAATTGGCAAAAGTTATTACTTTTAATTATCTATTTTTTAATGAACAATTGAATATATATGTTTCAAAATAAAGAAATGCAGGGTTAGACCAACAAATTGGAAATTGGTTATAACTTTAAACTATATATTTAATTAGTGACTAATTGACTACAGTGTTGTCAATAGCGCGCTATAGCAGTATACGGAGGAAGGGTTGGGCGCTACAAGACCACCTGTAGCGTTGCATTTGACTCTAGCGGGAGTAGCGGCCGCTATAGAAGGCACTTTAGCGGGAGTAGCGGATGCTATAGCGGCGCTATTTGCTTTTCTTCGCTGCAGCTAGGGTTTTTCAGGGATAAGGTTTGTTTTTAGAGGTATTAAGGGTAAAGTAGACTTGATACGATGACAAGTATCTGGTTCTCTTCTTCAAGAACAAGTGAAAGACCTGCTTCATCTTCTACAAAAACGATATCTGCTAAATTCCTATTTGCTTCTTTTGAGTTTATTTTCTCCTGTTTCATCCTCTACGAGAACTTTCTTTGCTGCACTTCTCTTCTTTTGTTCTTCTAAGTAGCATGCTATGTTTATTATTTAGACTTAAGTTGTTTTAATTATTAATAGCATCCCCTGTTATTTTCAGGGCACAATGGAGCATTTTGTTAGTAATTTAGGATTTGTGAATGTCAAGATGTTTGGTACTTTCAGTAACAGAAATCATGTGTTTTAATTTGATGTGTGTATACACTGGAATTATATGTATAGATATCATATGTGTAAATAGCGATCATCCCGCTATATATATGGTGTGAATAGTGATCATCCCGCTATATATATGGTGTGAATAGCGATCATCCCGCTATCCGCTATACCGCTAAAGCATTTTCTGGGCTGGCCGCAAAGCTCCACTATCCGGGATTGACAACACTGATTGACGACTATACATGTTTCATAATAAAGAAAAGCATGGTGTCACCTTGAATCACCAACAAAATCATTCGATACGACATCTTCATCGGTGTATCCAAGAATGCCTATTAATGGACCTTCTGCCGCATTCCTGTAGACATGTGGCCCAGTAGAAGATGAGAAATACAAAAGTAGGTGAGTGGGAAATTGGGAATAAAAGATAAGACATAAGAGGCATACTTAATGGCTTCCTTGACATCATCATAAGTAGCACTCTTCTCTAGTCGACATGTTAGGTCTACAACGGAGACATTAGGTGTGGGAACACGGAACGCCATTCCAGTAAGCTTACCATTGAGTGCCGGAAGAACTTTTCCAACAGCCTTGAATAAAATGTGAAATTAGAAGAATATGAAGAATGTCAAAAAACAACAAGTACCTAGTCATTAAACATCTAATTCATTAAGTTATACCTTTGCAGCGCCAGTTGAGCTGGGGATTATGTTTTGCCCAGCTCCGCGCCCTCCTCTCCAATCCTTCATTGAAGGTCCATCTACTGTCTTTTGTGTGGCTGAAAAAACAAGATGATATTTAATTAAATTATACACTGAGAAAACGGAGGAAATAGCATACACTTTGCTTTAATAGACTATAATACTGACAGCAAAAAATCAAAGATAACCTGTCGTAGCATGCACAGTGGTCATTAAACCCTCCACGATACCAAACTCCTCGTGAACTACCTGCAAAAGCAAATAAATAAAATAAGCACATTTGATAAGGCCAGAGGATCTACTTTTCCTTATAGTAGGCTAAAGAAACAGTACATACCTTGGCCAAGGGAGCAAGGCAATTGGTAGTACAGCTGGCATTGGAAACGACATCCATGCTGGTTTTGTACGTCTTCTCATTAACACCCACCACAAACATAGGTGCATCAGCAGATGGAGCTGAGATTACAACCTTCTGTGCACCACCCTATAGAATAAAACATGAAAACTGAGCAGATGCTTTATAGATCCTTTAATACAACAGACAAAGGAATAAAGAAAACGACTTATGGAAGCTGGGGAACCAGTAGAAACAGTTATTACTAACCTTCTTGTGCGCTGATGCTTTATCCACTGTTGTGAAGATACCAGACGACTCAATCACATAATCAGCCCCAGAGTCACCCCAAGGAATATCTGACGGGTCCCTGCATAGCCAAGAGTGTAGTTTCAGTATTGACAATTGTAGCAATAAAACCACTAGAAAAATCCAATCCTGACCTCTTGTTGGTAACACTGATAGCCTTCCCGTTGATTTCCAGGGTAGATCCATCTAAAACCTTGATGGTCCCACTGAACACGCCATGGGTGGAATCATACTTTAACATGTAAGCCTGAAATGGAATAAAATATCATATATCTGTAAATTCTCCAAATCAATTATTATCAGACAGAAAAGATTGCATTCTCACCATGTAATTAGCATCAATGAAAGGGTCATTAACGGAAACCACATCAATGTCATCCCTCAATGTTGCTATTCGTAAAACTAACCTTCCAATCCTCCCAAACCCTGCAATTTGTTTGAAATTCTTCACGTTTCATATTAATGGTAACATTTTATGGAGCCAGTGAAGCAGGCAAACATACCATTTATCCCAACCCTAGTCTTCCCCAGACTTTGAAATTCTGAATAAATTAAACGGATATATCTGTTAGCAACATGTTTCTTATAGAATGTTTTTCATTTTAGCTATAACTATAGAGTTAAGCTTTATACTTGGAACTGTTGGGGGCAGTTCTGTTGCTGTAGCTTTGGCAGGACGAATGCTATGGGAGCCACGTCTTCTATAGGAATTGAACATCAATGTTAGTCACATTAAATCATGCCAGATTTGTAACTAACAAACCATATAGATTATAGAGAGAGGGGGGTCAATACAACTGCAAGGAAGATGAAAGAAGATTCGGGCGAACTGAACCAAAGACGCTTGATTCAAACTTTATAGAGTTGGAGCCTTGATGGGAGGAAGCCAAATATGCCTGGGTGAAATATTTTAAATAAAATCGGTGAAAATACATATCAAACAAAAAACCAACCTTAAGATGACCATAAGCATAAGCATCCACTTACATGGTACTCAGACACACACACACACACAAAATACGAACTGCTTGAAAAGGTTTACAAAATCTCGATTTGATTAGCCCCCGAAAGAAGAGAGCAAAAATGTTATATGGAAAACGGGCAGCCAGGTAGGGGAAGAGAAACACAAAAGAAGGATGAACTAAGTTAATGAGAGAAATTTTGTAACAAAAATGCTGTATCGCCAATAGAGATGGGCTAAGAAGGAGGTACAAGAAATGACCTGGGAACGATGGGAAGATGAAGAAACGTTCATCAAAGGAGATGCAGCTGCTGCAGATCTGAGTAGGAGAGAAGAGGAGCCCATTTCGCTTTTCCGATGATGAGTATCGAACACCAAATGGATCGAGCAGAGATATGCAAGGAAGCAAAACCCTAGGGAGAATTTTATACGGGAGGACTGTCTCACTGACTCTTCAGGCTTCCAGGGGAGAAAAAGAGAAAGAGTCCAGAACTTCAAAGCGACCGTCCTTCCCTGCTTTTTATTAAATAATACTGTATATATACACGTACCGTATGATAATAATGTACGAAGTATAATACTCCGCATATAATATAAATACGGAGTATAAACTACGGAGTATTATACGTCAACCGACAACGCTGCTCCGGAGATTCTTAAGCACAAACGAATATACATGGAGTCGGAGTGTGAAAGAACGTGACAAGTTGACAACTACCCAAACCCGACCGATTTTGCTCTACTCATCTCCCTCATCCCAATATTTTTTCTACCAACATCCTTGTGATCCCACCCAAAGGAATATACATGGACTCGGAAGAATGCAACCCAAATCCATAAGTAAATTTCAATAGTTTGAACAATTTATAGGTTCTTAACATCTATCTATACATAATTGTGCACATGAAAAATGATTTATTACACATGTCCTTAATTCCCTGCATAGCTCTCATGAGAAACTCCACTAATTGGTTAGACACGGTCAGATTTCAAAGCAAAAGTTAACTCATACACTACTTTTAGAGGCCATATAGATCATGAATTGCTCGACCACTTAAGTTAGCACAGGGAGCTAAAGGTCATATTTAATAATGTCCTCTCAAATTCACCTTATTCGTCACTTAAAAATCAAGGCCTCACTGAGGAGAAGTCATAAGTGTGAGATGTGGTTTATTTGGACCATTCCAACTTGTCACCCCCTCCTTATAATTGGCCTCTTGGAGCGTTATATATGTTGGAATTTGGTATAAGAGTCACCTAACTCATATACTCGTGTAATATAGCCAAATGTCATATGCTTCATGTAGGAGTAGGTAATAGAATTTGTATAAAAGTGTTTGGGTCCAACAATGTATAACTAGTTGAGTAGGAATACCGATATGGAGTTCTAGCAAAAGAGAGAGAGAGAAACCATAAAGTTTAATGGCATTGGCATCAATTAATCGATACTTTTCTTCAATCAAAGCTAAGAGCGGGCTAGTGTTATTTGTGCAAGAGCTAGAGAAAAAGAGTTGGCCTTGTAAGCTAACAAAGGAAGCGATGGAGATTGGAGATATAATCGTCGGGATGCCTGCATCATCGGCATGTGGGAAGGCATTAAATGAGATTGAAGATGATCTAAGTTAAGATGATCTGTGTACAAGAATATCATGAATATACGTTAATGGAGTGAGCACGATGAAGTATGAATAATGATATGTCAACCTTGGAATTGATAAACTTGACTCGTGGAAGAAAAAACTTTTATTGTTCAGTCTGGAATGGATGTTCGTAGGCCGTTTGGGAGACTACGACAGAATATCTAGGTAGGAATTGAGAGATGAACTTAGTAATCTATGGAGAAGCTGGCTACTACTCGTAAAGAAAAGATTGTATAGACTTACAAGGCATGACCACTAATTAAATACTATGTGGACTTGGTCCAATTAGTGAGCTAATGTTAATGGGTCAGCCAGTCCAATCAGGAACTAGGCAACTTGGGCGATTCTATGCTTGTCAACTTGTATCTCAAGCTCGGTCACCTGGTCAGACTGCTCCCGAGCCTTTGGATGAATTGGACATCAGTATATGATTCGGCCCACTATCCCAACACGAATAGTCATCATCAAGAAAGGCAATGAATATGATGGAAGATGGCCTTTGTAAAAGAATATCATGAACATATACAGTGGAGTAAGGATAATGGAATGTGAATAATGATATGTAAGCCTTGGAATCGATAAACTTGATCTGAAGAAAAGCTTTTATGCATGATACCAAGTACAAAGTGCCTTTTGGGACTATATACACTTCATGGGACCACACATGGATAGGATTTTATAAAATGAGAAAAATGGGGGATACATCTGATAACACTTTAATCTTCATATTGGAATTATCTAGAGAAACAATTGAGCAGAAGCATACATGACTCTATTGGAGATAGGGGTGGGAAAATATACCAAAATTTCGGTATACCGGTCACACCGTACTGAAAATTAATGTTTTTTACCGAAAAATTCGGTATACCGAAAAATTCAGTATGGTATGATACCATACCGGGTCACTTCGGTGCGGTAACGGTATGCATTTTTAAAATTTTCGGTATTTCGGTATATACCGAAATACCGTTAATTTCCGGTATGGTACGATATATACCGAAATAGAATTTGAAAATTATTAAGACCAAACTCATTAAATGAAATTAGTAAGATATCAAGGCCCTAAATTTTTAAACCCCATCTTAATACTACGGCTCTTCTCCATTCTCCCAAATGGAGACCAAATCCCTAATCAACTAAATAAACGTAAAGACTAGAGTCGAGCACTTTCTCTTCTCCAGTTCTCTTAAGTGACGAGTGACGGTCTTTCGGACGATTGAGTATTGAGGACGAAGCTGTGGAAGACGAAGCTGCGGACGAGTGACAGAGCACTCAAGAACGGCAGAAAACTTCGACCTAGAGATGCGGACGAGTGACAAAGACGCCATTGACGAAGTAAGGAGCAATGGACGATCTAGTCAAATTGAGTATACCGGTCATACTGTACCAAAATTTTACCAAAAACTACAGTGATTGCATATTCTCAATCCTGGTAATATGAACAATCTAGTCATTGATATGTTAAAAGTATAAGTAGTACATTTGTTTTGCAAAAAAAATCAATTTTTAAAAGCAGGGACAATATATTCCCAATTATTTTTGTAATTATCTTGAAAAAATGAGAGTTGATAACCATAGTGAATGAACATTTAGTGTCGTTTTATACTTTTATAAAACAAAGTATATATGTCTAATAATCACTTGTGGTATGTGTGGATCCCAGAATACACTAGTGGAAGGGGAAAAACTGCTAAGAAAAGTGACTTTCTAATGTTTTCAGAAACCACTGCCACTATTACTGCAACATTGATTGCAAACTTTGTGACATTTTCCTGAGAGGAAGCTTTGTGGGTGACCTTTTCTTCAGCACTACTGTTGGGCTTTGGCTCACTGTTTTGTCTAGTCTCAAATTAACGTGATATATGTTACATTTTCAGCATTACTAATGGAATCTGAATCATCTCACTCGCTACCCAGTCCAGCTGAATCATCGACTACCCTTGAATCTGATACAGAGAATGGTAGTTCTAGTCAGAAGCGAACACGTGAGTGTTCAACAGAAAAGCCTCATGTACCACCTAAAACGAGGAGTATTTATTGGCAGCATTGTGCCAAAGGTTTGAGGAAGTTGGCTAATGGGAGCATTCAAAGTATAGGAATATGCAATCACTGTCAAGTTGAGATTCAGCCGTACAAGGAAGTACTAGTGGTTTAAAGAATCACTTAGTCAAGAGATGCAAATCAAGTTCTCTATATGGAGGGAGTGACAAAAGTCAATATGTGATCACAAATGAGATGATGGGACACGTAAATGCATTGATTCCTCATACTTTTAATCAAAACGGTGTGAATTGAAACTTACCGAGTATGTAGTTATTGATAAATTGTCGTTTCGGGCGGTGGAAAGAAAGGGATTTGTTAGCTTTGTGCATGAATTGCAACCTAGGTTCAAAATTCCTGACCATAAAAAGGTTGTTAGCATGGTTTATGATTTGTTCTTAGTTGAGAAAGCAAAGATTAAAAGTGTGATTACTGGTCAAAGGGTAAGTATCACAATCGATACTTGAACTTCAATTCAAAACATAAATTACATGGTTCTCACTGCTCACTTTTTAGATAGTGAGTGAAAGTTGCACAAAAGAATAATCAATTTTACAAAAATCGGCTAATATACGTACTGTTCTTGAGTCTAGTTTCTTTTCATTTAGTCTATAAGGCCTTGCCTCGATTGGACAAACCAAACATGAAAATGATTTATATTGGATTTTTTCCAGTCCAAATTTCATAAGGAGTTTTGTCTCTCGAGACAGTTATTTGTTCCACCTCACATGTATTAGTAAAGACCTCAAGGGCACTATCTTCCAATTAGTACTAAAATCTCTCTTCTAGAGGATACCAGTCTTCCAAATCCTACATATCATTATCATTGTTTAAAAACCACATAATATCTTATTATAACCGTTGGCTAAGAAAATCATTTGAGACAAATCTTGGCAAAGGAAAAGAGTATCAATTGATCTTCCAAACCAATTACCATTTCAATTAAACAACAACAACAACATTTTGTGTGTAGACATCGAGATGTCAAATCTAAAAACATTATAACTATGAATAAAGGTTGGCACCCCTGATTTGTGTCAGCACTATTGATAAATAGGACGTTGTACATTGTTGTTGAAATGTGGAACCCTATTTTTTCCACGTGCTGCTTTACCCTCATGGCCCATGACATCTAAACTTCTGTTAATACAGAGTATGTGTAGTTTTCTTTTATTAACCCAAGTATCACATCTTATATAGAGGTGGAACCGTATTCCACATTGTGAATTTGTGATTCAGTCATCTTATAAATAAGGATGACAAATGCCATCTTTTTTTTTCTATTATTCTCATTTAGTTTATAGTTTATTTCGCAGTTATTGGGTTTTCTTAACATACTCAAATTTCATTTAATTTAATGCATTATTATAATTTTTTGTACTTTCTAAATATATAAATTATATTTTTTGGAAAAATAGAGTGTTACAATAATTACGGATTATATGTTCAATATAAGAAATGTTTCACATCGATGTTACATAGCTAAATACGGGGCGTAAATGTAATCTTTCATAACTTCAAACACATATGATTACAACCTTGTCAGGAATGTGAAATACTTATTGCTCATAAAAATGGTTTGTACACAACTACATGCATTTGGATGATATTTACATCAATATTCTTAATGTATTTCTAAAAATTGATTAAGGGTGCACCGCATAATCACATATTTTCCGCACAATTACCGGTTGACATGGAATATAATTATTCCGACAATTTTTAAAATATACGTATTATATGATGAGCTCGTTTGGTAACACTGAAATTGGCTGAATTGATTGATTCTATTGAAATTTATGAAGTTTTGGCCAAAGTGGCTGTCTTGACTGATTTTGCTGATCTATGAATAAATTATACGAAGTATTTAAACTACAGAGTATAGTTTACTAATAAAATAAAGAAAAATTAAATGGAAAATAGCGATGTTGGGATATATTATCCCGGCGCATTACTGTTCAGGAGCCCAAGACTTACGTAGTACGGAGCCCAATCAGTGAGGCCTTTTTTTAGCCTATCAGGCCTGTTTCGGCTTTTGGGCCCATTTCGGCCCGTTCAGCTCGTTAGGGAGGAGAGCCCCCTTCCCCCTATTCCCTATAAATAGGAGGTGTTGAGGTTTATTCCTTCAACCCTCGGGTCCAACACGTAAGCCCAAGGATTTCGAGTGGAGTGTGTGTGAGTATCTAGCCCAACTAACAAGTAATATGGATCAAAGGAGAACAATAAGCAGCGAGTAAGTGA